CCTCTTTCCTGTGGGGCAGCCACCATGCTCCATGGTGTCCTAGGCCCAGGCTGCCTAGAGCAGAGCCCCGGGCCACCCCTTCCTGGCTGATGGGACAGGGCGAGTCGGGGGTTGTTGACCAGACTGGGGGCCTGTGGGGGCGGCAGGGCAGGGGGTGGAGACACGGGGCGGGGAAGGACCCCAGGGACCATTAGACCTCCACCTCCTGCCCTGGGCACGTCTTCACCACCAGGTTTTGGGGGCTTGCAGACAGGCACCAGCCAGAAAAAAGGGGTGAGAGCTGCCAGCCAGGGAGCTGAGGCCGAGGGACGGCCCGTGACCCCCGCAGAGGCCGTGGCCAGGGTGGGCAGTGGGGGCCCTGGGGCAGGGAGGGAGGGCCAGTTCCTGTCGCCCACCCTGACCACCCCTCTGCCTAGGGGAACCCAGCCCTTCGAACAGGTTGGGGAGGAGATTCTGACGCCGGGTGACCCCTGACCCCAGCTGCCCCGGGTCAGGGGTAGCCAGAGCCCTTTAATGCTGTAAGTTTATACCTGAAGCTGAACCCCAAAGTGAAGCCCAGGGCGGCTCAGGAAACAGCTGAGCCTGGAGTCCCCAGGAGCTGCCGCTGTGCCCCAAGCCCCCCAGCCTCAGGGAAGGCTTTCAGGGGACCGCACGGTGCTCAGCTCCGCAGCCTGGTGGGCAGCGGCCCATGCTGGCCACAGGGACAGCCCAGCCCTTCCCCACCCTGGGCCTCGCCGCACCCGACCAGGGCTGGCATGTGTCCTGCAGTGCTGCCAGTGCTGCTTTGGAGCAAGTCTGGGGCACGTGACCTGGGGAGGGGGAGCGCTGGGGTGGCAGGCGATGCCCAGGGGGTGAGTCCCAGCGACGCGGAGATGTCTGTGCTCATGGCCCCCATCCGCGCCCCCGGAGGGCAAGTGCCGAGGACTGGACACGGCAGGCCTCTGCCACCCTGCTCCACCCACGCTCTCCTTGGGGAACCCGCAGCCCTGACGGGCTGCCATTGCCATCTTGTCCTCCTGGCCCGCTGTCCTTTCCCGCTCTGGAGCCTGGGACACAGCAGGCTTTTCCAGGTCAAAGTGTGGGGGTCTGTCCGGTCCAGAGCCTCCCTGGGGCATGTGGCAGGTTCCGTGAGCCCTTCTGGGCTGTGGTGTGGGGCAGGGTAGCCCCCGTGTGCCACTGGAGGGAGGATATGGGACAGGGGTCCTGCCAGCAGGTGGCAGCGAGCCTGGGCTCCCCTAGGCCATCCATTGCTTGGACAAGAGGCCGGGAGACCCCTGACAAGGCCCGGCCAGGCTGGGGATGCCAGATGCGGTGGCCTGGCACCCCAGGAACTGCAGCCAGGCTCCGCCCACGCAGCGGACCCACAGTGTGGCGCCCACAAGGGCGGGCGGTGGGGGCTGGAAGCCCCTGGCAGTCGGGCAGGGAGAGGGCTCCAAGGTTGAGGTGCCAACTGGCCTCCTGGGTAAGTGGCCCGAACACCCGGGAGCTGCCGACCCACCCTGGGGCAGGCCTCCTGCCCTTGGGGGGCTGTAAGCTTGGCTGAGCCCAGGCCCCAGTGGTGGTCCTGCCCCAGGCCTCTCCTCCCAGGGCTCCAGACGCATCTCTCTGAGGAGAGGCTACCAGCTCGGTGAAGCGTAGACAAAACCTCTGTGGCCGCATCCGGCTCGGAGGGACCCGGGTGGACAGAGGGCATCTGGGCCGCAGCGGCCCTTCCCTTCCTGCCCGCAGCCCCCACAGGCTGACCCCGGAGGCCACCCTGCTCTGCTGGGGAGAGGAGGGCTGGGGCACACGCACGGCGGCCCACGGTGCTCGCAAAGTCCTGTGTTGTACAAGGGCGTCTGTCCCAGGGGTGCAAAAGGACTAACAGGTACACAGCGAAATAGATAAATATGCCAAGCTTTTCTTTTTTTCTTTTTAAATCAGGCATTTATAAACAAGAAAGCATACATTAATTACATAAAAATAGTTCTCGAGTAGCAGAGTAAGCATCGTATTGTCATTAGCAGCAGCAGACGCAGGGACGGTGCGGGGGCTCCGGGTGCTTATAAAGGTAAGGTGGGTTTTTTCCTTTCCTTAATTGAAAAAAAAAGTCATTTGTGACTCCTGACTTAAAGCAAGAACAAAACACCTCCCGACCCTGGGGGATGAGGGTGGGCGGGGCAGGGAGGGACGAAGAGGCCCAACCTGGCGGGAAAGCGCGAGGCGGAGCCCAGCACCCGCGGGAGGACCTCGCGCACGGACACTGGCAAAGGGGCTTCTCCGTCCCCTCTGGCAGGTGAGCATTTTTTTTTCTTAGTTAAAAACAGCCCAGAAAACAAGACAACCGTCAGGTAAGAAAAGAGTTTCTGAAAAAAGAACCACCATATACACGTATAATACAACGGTGTAAAATGAAAAGAAGTATTTACACGGCAATTGTTTTTACATTGGCTAGTTCTGTAGGAAAAGCAGATATTATGTGTATGAGTTAGCTGCTCCGTAGATATGAATGTTATTGCTGTTGTTTCTTTCCCTTCGTTAAAAATCCTCTTTCAGCATAGAAATGAGTAACTGAACTGAATACACAATCATGCGGATGACGGGTTGTACATACGGGGGGTCAACAGCCTGCACAGCCACCCCCCCTCGTTCTGAACGGGACCCACTTGCAGCCACGCCGGCCCTGCAGCCAGCACACCCTCGGGGCCGGGGCCGCCCTCGCCCAGAGCTGCCCCTCACACCCGGCCAGGACCCCCAGCGCCCCCACCCTCACCCAGGGAAGAGACTTGGGTGAGCCGAGACGGGAGCAGCAAGAACTGCCCGGGCAGGCCCAGAGGGAGAGCTGCTGGCGAGGGAGCACCTGCCCCTGGCCGCGGGGCCCAGGCGGGACGAAGTCGGTGACACTGTCTGGACCTTGCCAGGACCAAATCCCCCTGGCTCTTGGGGAAGAGTCACCACTGCAGACGCTGCTCTCTCTGCAGACATCTGGGACAGAGCAGGTGGGGGCAGGCGTGGAACTGATGGTGACTGGCCGGCAGGAGGAGGGCAAGGTGACTCGGAAAGCTCTTCGTCCTCTGGGGGCCTAAAACTCGGAGGCAAAGGGATGAGCCTGGCAGCCCCTGGGGCGGGCAGAGCCTGGACCTCAGAGTTCAGACTGGGGACACGGGACAGCCACACAGAAGCACGCCAACACACGTAAAGCTTTGCTCCAACTAAATCATTTAGTTTCCCTTGAAGAAATGACTGAAAAACACAACTCTGGTAAAACAAGGCTAAAAACAGCATTCTGCATGTTGCATAACAAAACCGACCCTTTACAAGACACGGTAATAATGCCCATCAATGGATCTACCTATGGCAGAGGTGTAAAATCCCATGCATACAAATTTAATAACTGCAAAAGTAAAACAAAAGCAAAAGAAAAAATTTCCAAACAAACGCTGCATATACATGATGTCCCTTTTGCATTGCACTTTAGAAGGGGGGGGTCCAGCAGCCACCAAGACCCCCTCAGTAAACCAAGGGCAAACCCTGCGGACGATTCTGTCACCCACACGCACGGCGTCAGTCTCGGGTCTTTGCTTGCTGCTGCCGCCGCCGCCGCGGTCGAAGATCCCGAGGCCATCTGTACCTGCACGCGATCTCCATCCCATCAGCAATCGCAGCTGCTGGGTGTCAGAACGGACTCAAGCAAAGAATTCCTGTCAGATCTTTCTTACGTGAATAAATACCGTAATTTAGGGTGGGTATCCGCCTCTTGTCTACTGGGAAGTCATTTTTCAAGCCTGGGCATAAGAAACCTTACACAATTTGCATAAACAGTTGAGAGTAAACGAGATTATTTGGAATAAATGCAAGGAACTTATTTTGATAGTGGCAGATTCAGTCGCTACTGAAGACAGATATTTTGGGGGTAAAAAGACATGAGTCAGGATTTGCTGTACAAGATGCTGGAAGGCACAGGACGACCCCGAAGTTCAGTTTTTGCATTTTCATTTTCTTGTGATTCCCTTGTTCAACCAAGCACCAGAGGGGATTTCTAAGCACTCGAGCACTTAGGATTTGAACTGCTCTATAAATCAGTAAAAACTTCAGTTAACTGGGGAATAAAAAGAGAAGGGAAGATTTTTGACAAAGTGCAGTTCTAAATATACGTTTAAAATGAACGAACAAACAAAAAAAGTAAAAGAAAAAGTGAAGTAATGCTGTGTTTTGTTCCAATGCTGCAGCCCCAGTCCCAGCGACGCTGGCCGAGCTGACTCGGGCGCCGCGGTCAAGCAGCGCATGTTCCCGGAGGGGCCGAGGGTGTGCCCGCCGCCACGGCCACCTGGCGCAGGCCAGCGCCCTGCGGTGGAGGAGCACGGGCAGAACCCAGGGCACGGAGAGCTGAGCACGGCTCCTGCGCGCTCTGCCCTTCCTGTGCCCGCGGGTGTGCTGCTGGCGTCCACGGCAACGTGGCAGGCGGGTGGGCGTCGTAAGGCGGGCAGTGTTTGGGCTCATCTCGCACGCGGCACTGTCCCTACTCTTCCTGGCAGCAGCAGGAAGACCTGGGTCCTTGTCGCTGAAAAAATAGACTCTGAAGAAAAACCCCTGCTGTCCTCGCGCAGCCGCGGGCACAGATGAGCTGTGATGGCTTCCCGGGCGGGGAGGGTGGGCGGCCGCCACCCCCACTCCATCTCGGGTCTTCAGATGGCGTCGTGTGTTGGGGCTTTTAAAAGTTAGTCATTAAAAAACATGTTGATTTTCTGAATTTCAAGTCTCCTTATTGGTTTTAAATAGCTTATAACAAAAGTGTAAATGTTAGAACGTTCTAGCAAGCAGAGGGCTTGCCAGAGCTGCCGAGCCGGCCTCGTCCCGGCTGCAGCTGGGGGACACGGCTTGCTCGCTTGAACTTGGCCAGTACAAAATTTTGCAGTGGATTCCAAAGTATGTGGTTACAAACACTCGCTTGGTAATAGGCACAGTAAGACGTTGTGCTGTGTGGGCTGCAGGGGCGCTGCAGGGGCGCGGCCGGGGCGGGCGGGCCGGGCTGGGGGCAGCGCCGCCCGCCCCACTCCTCTCTGCACCCTGTCGTCGTTGGCGCCACGGCCGCAGGGGCTCCCTAGGGCTCCAGCTGAGCAGCGCCCTCGCTGCCCGCGGCCTCGGGGCGGGGCCGTGGCCAGAGCTGCTCCTGCAGCTCCTTCACCACCTTCTCCAGGTGCTCGCGGGCCTCGCGCTCCCGCAGCAGGTCGGCCCTCAGTTGCTCGCGGTCAGCCTCCGCGTGCTGCAGCTTCACCTGCAGGTCTTCGATCTGAAAGGGACGCCACTAGTCAGTGGCCCTGGCCGGGGTCCCTGCCCGTCACACACGGCCCCTCCACCCCACTTCCCTCACCCACTGGGGGCTCGGGCCCCCAGCATCTGCTTGCCAGGACCTTCCCAGCTCCCCAAGGCCCAGGTCCAACCTGGGGGCTGCCACCACTGCCTCCCTGACCTGCAGGGCAGACCCGGCCTCCCCAGATCTGGGGGCCCCGCCACCCTGCGTGCGGCTCAGAGCCTGTTTCTCAAGCAAACCGGCCAGCAGGGGACCCTGGGTCTTGAGGCCCCCACCAGGGCCACGGAAGACAGGCCCAGTGCCCAGGCCCAGTGCCCAGGCCCAGCCCTGAGCTGGAGTCCACCCCACAACGATCCAGGCCCGCCGGCTGCCCGGCCATCCGTGGTGCCCCATGACCCTGTGTAGACTGGGCGGGGTGGGTGTGGCCGGCGTACCTGGGCGGAGTACTTGGCGCGCAGGCGGCCGGCCTCGCAGCCCTTGTCACACACCCGGACCTGCCGCGCCTGCTCCAGCTCTCGCTTCAGACGCATGCGTGACTCATTGGCCTCTTTCATCTTCTTCTCGTTCTCTGCGCGCAGGCGCTCGATCTCCTTCCTCAGGTTGCGCTTGGCCTCTGTGGCCTCCCGCAGTTTCTCCTTCTTGGCTACGCGCAGGAACTCCAGCTCCTGGGAGGGCAGCGCGGGCAGGTCAGGGTCCCAGCGCCCCTGAGACCTGCTGGACACGGCTCCCTCTCCCACCCTGGCAGGTCTGCCCCATGGCTGTCCACCTGCGAGCCCCGCCCCCCACACCACCAGCCTAACCACGCCGCAGATGGCCTGGTCACAGAGGTTCTTCTTCCCAGACCACCGTCCCGAGGCTCCCATAGGCTCACGCCACCTGCTGCCGGGCCTGGGGTCTGGCCTAAGCCTGCCATCCTCCAGGCCGTGCAGGGGCCTCCGCGCACCTCCCTTCCCCACACGCAAAAGCCACGTCCCCCTCGAGGGCAGCCGGCCGGTGCTCTGGCTCCCACCAGCATGAGTGGGTGGGCGGCCTAAGACATCGACAGCGGAAGGCCCAGTGACCCCCACACAGCCAGATGGAGCCTTACGTCGGCCTTGGTGTCTCTGAGAGCCCTTCCCCCACTTGGTAAAATATCCCCAACTCACTCCCCCCCTCACCCCAGGCTGCAAACCACGCCTCATGAATATGCATGTGGGAAATCACACCTCCAATCAGAACCACCTAGACAACAGAGGCGGGGCTGTCCTGGAGCAGGACACACACCCTGGGGGCGTCTGAACCCCGTAGCTCTGCGGGCTGGCAGGGCTGCAGTGCTAAAGCCCACGCTGGTGAGGCTGGCCCCGCCGGAGCTGCCAGACACCGCCGAGGTGTGAATTCAGCAGATTCTGCGACGCTGGGTTTGCCGGGGTGAAGGCCCAGCCGCCCACGCACCTCCCTCTCCCCAGGCTGTCTGCAAACCGCACACCCCTCGTGCGCTTCGTGAGAAACCACAACAGCGACGGAGGCGCCGGAGCCAAGGCTGCGTGTGGGAACCTTGAGGCAGGGCCCTGGGAGGCAGCGTGTGCAGGCGGGGCCGAGTGCCTGCGTGTGTGTGTGTGTGTGTGTGTGTGTGTGTGTGTGTGTGTGTGTACGTGCCCATGCGTGTGCACCGAGCCTGCTCCTTCCTGCTCGGGAGGCCTGTTGGTGACCATTTTCCAGAACACACAGCTTTAGGAAGTGCACCCTCACCCCGTGTTCTGCAGGCGACAGGCCTTTCTGGCGCGCATGTGAGCACCCGCTCCTGGCCCACAGAGCACGGAACTGTCTCAGCACAGCTGCTCCTGCTCCCGCCACTAAAAATAGCCCAGCCATCATTACGCCAGAGGGACACACCCACTTCCTTAGCGGGGTGGCTGTGTAGGGCGCGTGACGTGTCGTGTGGGGCCGACGGGAGGGCTGTGCTCAAGCCAACGGCAGGGCCCTCGCGGGAAGCCCAGAGGGGCTCTGCACGTCAAACGGGTCTCCACACCCAGAGCCGCAGCCCCTTGAGACTGAGAGGAGCGCGAGGGGAGGCCCGGAGGGGCGGCGGCCTCACCTGGTGGAGGCTGCGCTTGGCCTGCAGGGCCGCGTTGAGCTTCTCCTCCTGCTTCACACGCATCTTGACCACCTCGTGCAGGAACTTCTCTTTGGCTTCCTTGGTGTCCAGGCCGCCCTCCAAGGCCTGCCGCAGGTGCTCCAGCTCCGCCTCCAGCCCGCTGGGGGCGTCGGCGTGGGCTGCGGCGTCGGGGGCGGCCGTGGGTGGGGCGTGCGTGCCCGGGGAGCTCAGGTCCTTGGCAGAGCTGGATGAGGTAAAGGACGGGGAGGACAGCGAGGACAAGGAGGACGTGACTGAGGAACAAGCAGAGACAGAGACCACGTCACACAAGCGCCAGGAGCCCCTTGCTGCGCAGACTCGAGGGCGCTTCCAAGAGGGACCTGGGAAACGCCGGGCCAGGGGTACGGGGATTGGGGGGGACTCTGCCTGAGGGCGTGCTGGACCCCAGGTGTCCCCCAACTCCCCCCAAGCTGGTGCCAACCCCACGCCAATGCCACAGGGCGTAGAAAAGGAAATCAACTCACACTTACATTCCTCTCTGCTTTCAACTTCGACCTCAGCCTCCGAGTCCTTGTCCTCCTCTGGGGCTCCGGGCGCGTCCACGGTCAGCTTCCGCTTCCGCGGCTGAATGCAAGTGGTGAGAGGCTCGGTGGCCCGGGAGACGACGGTGGCACATGGTGGGCTGTTCACAACCTTCTGCTGGGCTGGTGGTGCGAGGGCCACGTTGGGGGCCACAGCCGTCTCGAAGCTCTTATAGGAGTAAAAGCTGGGGGTGGGGGCGGACAGGGCGGGTGTCAGTTGAGGCAGCTCTACCTCACCAGGCCCCCGCCTGACACAGGGAGCCACATGGCACCCCACACCGCGAAGACCCATCACGGAACACGCTGCCTTCGAAGGTGTTAAAGGTGTTAACACTGTCTCTTCCAACAACAAATCTTAACATCGAGCCTTCAGTGACTAAGAATCTGCCAATGGTTTCCGCTGGCCAGGTGTCCTGGGCTGGCTGGACACAGACCGACCACGTCACGAGAGGCAGCACCCAGAAGACAGGACTCCACAAATGCCACCACCCCACCCAGCACCGCCACAGGAAGTTCTAGATGTGCGTGCTCTGATGCCAACCAAAGGGACCAACACTTTGACCAAGATGCCCAGGTCTGGGCACTCAGCCTGCAGAAACACCAGGGTGTCGCGTGGACGCGACGCTCAGATGACAGCATCTGTGACTGTGGAAACCCGCACCTGGCAGCCACTCACCTGTCTCGAATCAGGGCTGGGAGGTGTGGGGAGATCTCTTTTTCACTCGTGGAAACTGCGGGGGACCAGGGCCGGAAGGCGGAAAGGCGCTGGCGAGGGTGGACGCAGCCGAGACTCTGCGGAGAAAGAGTCGCCGGTGTGAGCAGCTGGGAGGAAAACCAGCCGCTGCACGTCCCTACGGCTGGGCGGGCTCCGAGGAGAAGGGCCCGGCGCCCACCTCCCCGAGGACCCCACACAGGCCCCCGCGCAGCACCTTGTTGGAGGAGCCGGCCAAGGTCCGCAGCCAACCGGACTGCTTGTCCTTCTCAGAAGGCGCGGGGGACTGGGAGGTGTCATCTGTTTGGGGTCTTATGGAGGCCGGGGGCTCGGAGGAGACCTGCGATCAACACAAAAGGCCCTGTTGGCACCTCTGGGCCCCAGGGCAGTCTCCCTACCAGCCCCAGCGAGCACGTGCCCCGTCAGGCCCTGAGCCATGAAGGACCTGGGCGTACCAAAGGCAGACTGGACCGCGCCTGGCAGTGCCGCCTGTGGGACGTGGCTCCCGGTGCGCCGAGGGGCCAGGAGGGCGGCTCGGGCCTGTGTGGGCAGGCAAGCCGACACTGCTGAGGGCCACCACCTCGAGGATGGAACGGACGCTGCTGTGTGGTCTGTGCGGCTATCGCGCAGTGACCTCACCCCACAGCTATAGTGGTTCCAAGTGGCATCAGGACCTGCCCTCCTCGTCCATAGCGGCTCTGCCTGACCCGAGCCCCTGTCCTCATCCCTCTGGACAGCTGTCCCAGAACCTGAGCCTACACTCGGCAGGGACCCGCGCTGGGGACCTGGGCTGAGCCACAGTAGGAGCAGCAGGCCCACCTGAGAGCCGCCAAGCAACCCCTGCTCCGGCTCAGGACAGGCCTGGGAAGGGTGGCCGGGCCAGCTGTGGGGCCCAACGCGTGGCTGCCACAGGGAGGGTGAGCAGCGCCTCGCCACTGCCTGGCTGAAGAACAGGCTTCCTGGTGGCCTCCCCATGGGAAGAAAACATCTCAGCACGAAGGACGCGCCGGCACGCCCAGTGAGCTCGGCTTTACAGCACACTGCCACGCTCACCTCTCCTCGCTCCTCACTGACTCTGCTGTTGAGGAAGCTCAGAGAAGCCACCCGGCCCCACTTGTCCCAGGAAGGCAGTGCTATGCCCGGCAGGTACGACGGCACATTTCTCAGAACCGACAAGGGGCACCGAGTCTGCATGGCCTCTGGAGCCAGTCTGAGCAGGAAAAGCAGCTCCTCCAGCAGACGCCCACCGTGGACCGACCCGAGTTGTCCACTGCAAGACACGGTCCAGACACAAGGTCTGTCCCCACGCAAAACCAGAACAGTCTTTGGAAGAAGGAACCCCCAGGCCCCACAGGACAGCAGGGAGGCCCCCAGGGCAGCGGTGCCAGGGTCTGCACCGTGGCCAACGCCGGACATGCTGCTGAGGGTGACGGCCCGTTCGCCTTCCAGGGCCAAGTGCAGGAGGAGGCTGCAAGTGTGGCGACCTCTCGTCTCCAGCCAGGAAGCCTGGGGGGCATCGGGGGCTGGAGTTCCTCCGGCCCCCAGGAACACGTGGAGAAAAGGGTGCAGCTGGCCCCGGGGGACAGAGGGGGCAGGTAGCCGGGCCCCTAGTCAAGGTGCCCGAAGTAACAGGGTTTTCACCATAAAGCTCAGGATGCAGGGAGAGCCCAGACCCTGGGGGAGCCCTGGGGAAAGATCTCGCCAAAGCCACGGCCTCCCCAGGAACACAGGCTGAGCGCAGCGTGTGCACACACCCCCAGCCTGCAAGGCTGCAGCCCCTCAGGGAATAAGCCGCCAGGTGGGGTCGGGGCAGGCAGGCGCCTAACCTGGGCACTGGCGTGGGGCGCCCTGGGGAGGGGCAAGTGTGAGGGGTACACTCTGGCAGGGCCTTGCACAGAAGCAGCTGTCCCTCTGGCCAGAGCAGCCCCAGCTCTGGGGAAGTTTCAGGTCAACTTACACACTCAGCCGAGACACTGAAGTAACCATTCAGGAAAAACGACACTTAAAACACACACTTAGTGTTGCTGCTTTCTAGGGGAAGTGCGTCTCGGTGACGCCTGGTGGATGCCCTGACCACAGGCCCCCGTCTGTGCCCGGCAGGGGCAGGTGGGATCCTAGCTGTGGCAGCAGAGCCCCTTGGAGAACTGCGCGGCCCCCTCCCGAGGGCAGCGCAGAAAGGGCCGGCCCAGGACGCCAGGCCAGGGTGGAGCTTCCTGTCTGAGCAGCCGCCATGGCAGGCGCGGAAAGGAAGCTAGGTTCAGAGGAAAGCCGCAAGACCCGGCGCCGTCTGGTGCTGAATCTGAGAAACCTCAGAGACCTCGTGGGGGGAGAAGTGTCAGACGCCACCAGCTGCAGGGACACACGCCCACCTCACGCCACCCCCATGAGAGCTAGTGCCACTGCAGATACAGTTCTGCCCGGCGGGCACCAAACAGCCACCCTGAAAGACGCAGCTGGAGGACCCGTGGGCAGGGCCCCAACCCATCCACACGGTTCCCAGGACCCCACGCCGACCCAGCCGTGGATTCAGAGAAGGGGGCGTGTTGGGCCTGGCCTCCCACATGGCTCCAGCCTGGGCTGCCCCCAACAAGGCAGGTCTCCTGGTCCTCAGGTGGCTGGAGCAACCCTTCTGAGGTTCTCAGGAAAAACCCAACGGCCCCTCTTACCAAGCACGGGGCTCTTCTGAGTCTACATGTCACCAATACAGCACGAAAAGGAACTTGCCAAACAGAGAATGTCTGTGGCCTGGCAGCACCAGAGGGAGTGTCGCCAGAGCAGTGTCAGCCCAGGAGGAAGGACACCCTTCTTCAGGCCTGGGATGCCACCCACCCCCAGCAGGGCCCCACTGTAGGCAGTCAGGGACAAAGCCGCGCCTGGCAACAAGACTGCAGTGTCCCCACTCAGGGAGATCAGACCAGCCACCTCTGGTTTCTGACCCTTCCCAGCGCCTCAGAACCAGCCCACGAGGCCCAAGTGCACAGGGCACGAGGCGGCTCTGGGCCCAGATGCGCCAAGGTAACGAGGCCGGGGCCTGGGGAGGCTGGGGGGACAGCCAGGGGCAGGGCAAGGTTATGACAACCCAGTACCCTCTTTGTGAAGACCACAGCAGCGGCCCAAGGAGACTCCTGCCCACTGTCGTCGGCCCTGGAGCAAGGGAAGGGCCAATGGGGGACACCCCCCAGGGACCGCCGGGCCACGGCACGCTGCTGTGGGTGAGCTACACAACACCCCCATCGCAGGGTCACAGTGAGCCCTGCAAAGATGCTCCGGAAATGTCTGCCCACCTTCTGAGGCTAACTCTGAAACCCTCCCAGTGACCTGGGCTGAGGGTGGATATAGAGACACAAGGACACGGTGTCCACTGGATGCAGATGGACCCTGGCACTTGGGAGCTGGGCTGATGTGGGGTCGTGGTGGCTTCCAGAGCCACCTTGACCCTCCAGAGCAGAGGAGGGAAGAGCTTCAGATATGAGGGAGGGCCACATGCCCACGGGCCACGCTTCCCCAAGGGCCTCGCTTCCTGTGACGTCCCCCTACCTCTGCACAGCCCCAGGGGCGGCCTGCCCTCTGCCATGGCCAGCTTGTGGAAGGCTGAGAGGAGGCCTGGGCTCCAAGGGGCTAATAGGACCAGAGAGCCAAGAGGCGTGGGGGTGACATCCCAGGGGACCCCCGTTCCCAGGCCTGCAAGGAGCCAGGGACAGAGAAGACCCATCACGAGGCCCCTTGAAGAGCTTGTGCCCAAAACGTGCACACGGCCTGGGGCTCAGAGTGACATCCCAGAGCAAGGAGAGGCTGCTCCTCACCCGCCCAGCGGGCGGCTGACGCCCCGAGGTGGAGTGCCAGCGCCCAAGACCAAAGTGAGCGACGGGTCAGACGGCCAGCCCACAGGGGCCTGAGTGACCTGGGACGGGGGAGCCATGTCTGCACTTCCTACGGCCCCATTAGGGGCACTGGCTGGGCACTCCCCTTGGGACGACACACAGAACCTGCCACTCTGGCCACTGAGCCTCAGCCTGGAGCCCTGGCAGTGACCTCGCTGGCCTTGCTCATTGCTGCTTAATCACTAACTGGAAGGGGAGTGGCAGAACCCAAACCAAGAGCCTCCCCTCACTGGCAGGTCAGTGCTGGTGGTCCCTGCCTCCACTCTCCAGACACTAGCGTTGAGTTGACCTTGACAGAGGGTTCATACGCCCCAAAGCAGAACAAAACACGGCCACACATGTGGCCCAACGCGAACCTACACAACCCGCCCGGTGTCCACACAGGAGTCAGAGGCACCAGTGCACAGGGCCGCGCATGACCATGGAAGGGAGAACTCCAGCAGGGATCCAGAGGGAGGTGGCTGTGAGCGGCGGCACCAGAGGGACGAGGTCTGGGCACCAAGGAGACCACGGCAGGTGGCAGCCAGATGACCTTAGCACACCCCCAGCCAACCATGGCAACACCTTTGTGCTTTTCGTTTATCACCAAAGAAAGGGCCCCTTTTGGTGAGTGCTGTAGCCAGCGTTAGTGTAGATCCGTCTCTAGGCCTCAGCTGAGAGGACACCTGCCTGCAATCGGCACCCAGACCCCAAGGCCAGACAGGCCTTGCCTCGCACAGGTCTCTGCACCCTGGTAGGTAAACAGGACGCGGCAGGGATATGGGACAGGGCAAGGCCCTCCTCTGCTCAGCACGCTCCAGGGAGCCTGGCGGATGTGCCAAAGCCATGACCCACTCACTCCTTGAGTGTGGCCAACCGGGAGACCAAGACCGGGCTGTCCCGGCGGGGGGGGGACCAGAAAGCAGTGCCCGTAATCATGTGCCTGCAACTTCTTCCAACCAAAAAAATTTAGCATTTTCCTGCTAAGTTACAGCTGTCTACCACCTCACACCCACTAAAATGCCTATGATTTTTAAAAATATGGACAATACAAATGTTAGCAACGATGCAGCGAAACCAGAACACTTGCGAACGGGTGGGGGAGTGTAAAATGATTCAGTTGCTGTGGAAAATCGTGTGGCAGCACCTCAAAAAGTTAAATATAGAATTATCAAGCCAGGTGCGGTGGCCCATACCTGTAATCCTAGCACTTTGGAGCCTGAGGCAGGAGGATGGCTGCAGCCCCGGAGTTCGAGGCTGTAGTGAGCCATGACGCACTGCACTCCAGCCTGGGCGACAGCGTGAGACCCCGTCTCCAACTAAAAAAACTTATTATATAATTATAATATGACCCAGCAACTCCACTCGTCCACTCCTAGGTATAAACACACAAGACTACGGAAGCACGTGTCCACACAACCACCCGTGCACACAGCAGCACTACTTGCAGTCGAAATGGAAACAACCCCAGCGTCCATCA